TGATTTTTAAAAAATTTTATTTATTTATTTATTTATTTTATATTAGACAGTTTATAAATAATAATGTAGATAATCATTCTACAAGGCAATTTACGACGATTTACGCTATAACATCTCAATGGTGAGAACTTTATAATTTATTATTCCGACTTGTAAAACTGTTACTACATTTGCTAGCAAGTCTGCCAGAATGAAGTGATTAAACGAAAGTTGCTTACCAATTTTGGCGCTGCTAAATTAAGCGACATATGTAGTTGAATATTTAAGAGTAAATGAAAATCTCTAACTGCAGAACAATACTGATTGTATGTAACGTACATAATAAGAACTTTCAACACTCGTGTCGTACGTCCAATAAGATAGTAGATATTCATATCGATATTGTATAAATACCTCTTCACTGTACATATCTACGGTATGTGTATATATAATATACAGGATGTACCATAGCATATAAGACTCATTTCGAGCGTGGACAGAAAACATGATTACAATTGCAGTTTACTGAGACACAAAAAAAGGTACAATTTTTAAATAATGCTTGTATGAACTTTCTCCACTGTTTTAATGTTTCCGGTATACATCTAAAGTGGATCCTGTAAATTATAATACACCCTGTATAAAGTGATCTGTGAATTAAAAATCTCAAAATCAGTAACCCCTCATCGACGTTGTTGCAATTTCAAGGACCGACTTTTTCTCATCTTACTGAAATTAAAAATTAAAACGCTTTCATAAGTAATGATTGAATAAATTCCTTGGATCAACTGTACATTATAAACAAAATTGCGAGAAATTTAAATGAGTCCAGTCTTGTGATTTTATAAAGCAGCACATACCAGTCACTTTTAATGTCTGGTGAGTTTAATGTTAAAGCTGACAAAATCTTCTAACATTTCATTGCGATGTCGCAACAATGTCGGTTACCGGTCACTACTTTCGAGATTCTAGCGAGAAAATTGTCCTGTAGCATAGACACTACAGCATATCGAGAAAGTAATGGTCACCTATGCTAGTGTTGACTCTGTAGCTCCTTTATTTCTGCAAGATTGTTGGAAATCACGAAAAATTATTTTGCCTTTTAATTGATTATAACGAATGAGAAGTCCTAAATAATCTTTGTGCCAGAAATGCAGCGTATTATCTTTTCTCCTGAGCTCACAATATAAAAGTGCCATAAGCAATTTGACGATAAAGAGACTACCGAATCCATTATCACACTGCCCCTTGTTGCTTAAATTCCATTACCAACAAATTCCATATGACACTTCAATATTACCAACTACTAATTAGACAAGTGAACATTTTTAACTAGCTGCAAGACTTTGGCATTTTTGGCATATGCTTACTTCAGATACCTTGACCTTCTTTGTCATAGAAAGAACGTTGGTGCAAATGAATGTTAATGTTAAATTTCATTATTATGAACAGTTTTACAATGAGCTTTTAGTACTCCAGGGGTTCCATGGAAAAAGTTTTGAGCAACAATGGTCTGAAGTATCTAATTGAGCTTAGGTCTGAAGTAGATCTAGTCTCTATTTCTTTATTATATGCTTAATTCAGATCCAAGCTAGATCATTATCAATCAAAACTTGTTATCAGAAATTTTCAGTGAAATGTAGTATCGATGAATTATTCTTACTGATTTTCATGGAATCCTACACTAGTGGATTTCTTGATACTCGTTTTGTTAAATAAACAAATATTTTACGGCTTCAGTTATTCTGTTCATAGAAGTTATTAGCAACTATCTATATACTGTATGAGCGAAGAAACGTTCGTGAGTAATGTACATATAACACATTCTGTTTAACACTTTGGGGACGTCCCGTTCCGTTTGTAACAGTATCAATCGATCGGCGGATCTAAAATGGTAATGACAATCCCCAAGCTGTTAAAAGAAAGTAACTTGTGGTAAGAGAATAATTACTTTTTAGCTGAATGCGTTAAGAATATTTTAAGGATAATATAATTTTTGTAAATGAAAAATTAATTTTTCAATTGCATTAGATCACATGAAAAATTTTAACACGAATTCATTGCAATATGTTAGGTATGAAAATGTCCGATTTGAGACTGAAAGTTTGGTTTATTATATCTTGAGCAAGAAGTAATATAATTAATCAAAATATGCGCCTAAACTATCAATCCTTTCTCAATGCAAAAAAAAAGAACAAAGGACGGTTCAAGTGAAATATCGGAAACATCGGATACCAAACTTGATGCATTAGGTAATCGGACATTTCATACTTAATGACCTAATAATACGATTTCATTTGTCTGTCAAAAATAATGACTGTGAATTATTCTTAAATTGATTCGTTAAAATGATACACAGCAATAGTATGGTATTGTAAGGGTCATTCGAATCACTTTTTCGTTGGAAGTGGTCCAATTTTGTTAATTTGTGTGCCCCCTTTATCGACTGAGTGTAGATACATACTAGAGAGTAAAGATATAATAAACAGCACTGCT